GAAACGTGATATCTACGAAATATTTTTACAGAGATGAAAGATACAATTCAAATCTCGTAGAATAAAGAATACATTTTGGTAAAATATCATCGTTATCAACAATGCCACGTACGTATTATGAGGCAAAACTGAGAATCATACCGGTTATTAATCTTCGAAAGACTTCATCGTGTATCCTGCGATTTGTTTGCATGGCTACATTGTCCTCACACGAACTCGTGTACTTGAATAGCGGTAAATTATTCGGGCGATCTCGACTTGCTAATAGAATAACAAGGAAGAAAAGAGAGTGGAGAAGAGCGGATCTCGCGACAGGAAGTTTCGCTGCAGGGTGTCTCGAGTCCCCGAGGTCAGCCGCCATTTTTACGTGAATAGAGAGTCACGGGTGATTGACACTCGTCGTCTTTTCTTTCATCGTGTCCAAGCTTACCGAGAGCCGATTATTAATTGCAGAATGCCACTCTCTTCTCCGTAGGATAAATACATGGGTGAAGGTAGACGACAGGAAGTTGACCATTCTTTCGCTCGATTGAAAGGAAAACATCATAGTACGATATCTTCTCTCGAATACACAGTTCTATTCTTGGCCGATTTTGGGTATTTAATTTGCGTATTTAAATTAGGGATAATTCTTTCAATCGCCCAAGAAATTTAATTGATTACAGAAAATAATCACGATAATTATAATAATACTTGTAATCATCGATCAAGAAATCATCGCGAAGAAAGAAAATCTAATGCAATTTTTTTAAAGAAGCAGCAATAATCAAAATCGTTTTAATTGGTGAATTTTTCGATTTTGAGAATATCAATATTTTTTTAACAACTAAAATAAAAAAGAGGATAAATTAAAATCTATAATTTAGATTAGAGTTCATAGTTCTCATGTTACCATCCACAAAGACATCAAAGAACAGGCTTTTGGTGTTCAACCAGGACAGTTACAACCGAACTTTTTCCAGCCCGGCCACCGATGATCTCGATAACGTCTCCACGAGAAGTACACCGTTCACCAGTTTATATTTAGCGCATCCTTCCTTCCTCTCGCTCTCGATCACCACGTTCTCATGCACCGTTTCGGACCCAGTCGAATCGTAAATCCGTGGAATTGCTCCTCAAACGCACTACAGATTCACAGCCGGATGAGGGCCTCGAGTGGTAAAATCGATACCGATGCTCGATTGCCGGTAATCTTGTAGGAACAGCGTTGCGGTTAAGCGATGGGACGAGGGATGCGTATCAGATAAAGGATAAGCATTTGTTTCAGTTTCTTCTTGACTCCCTTATCTGAGCTAACAGGCCAATTTATGGGTTCTCGGACGGACCGAAGATAGGAAACAGATGTTGGATCATTGATTTCTTCCCTCCTGTTCTTTTTCATCGAGGTTGTCGCGTTTATTGTTATCGAAATTTCATCGAATGGTGGAATAGAAACAAGTCGGATTCTTTGCAATTTGAAAAATTATAAGTCTAATCGATTTCTCTTCAGGCACGATTAGATTACGATTTAATTTCTATGCAATCTTTGTTATTAAATTTAAAAGAAAATATAAACATACGAATTTTTCTTTATAATTATTGAAAAATTATAATTAATAACGATTATTCAATAATTAATAACTGTAATCAAAGATAATGACCCATCGCTTTAATACAAATATTAATCTTTAAGTTTCGAGTTTAGAATTTTAAAAATAGATAATAAAAGTGATTTCTTTTCAATATCCGCTTGAGAATTTTTATCTTATACGATCATACATTAGGGCGCATCGTTTCTTGAAAAATATCAATATTTAACCCTCCCTATAGAAACTTATATACACGAAATAATCGGGATTAATGGATTAAAATTAGAGTATAGGAGAATCGATAACACGTTTAACAGCAGAATTAAGCCCTCAGTGAGTAAAGTAATAGCCTCGTAAAGGTTTAAACATAGAAGGATATCTCGAAGCGATAATTCGATTGAATATTCCGAACGAGATCCGTTATTTGAAGGGGAGTACAAGCGCGGCAAACCTTGAGACTTAGAAAAGGATTCGAGGGCACGAAATGAAATTATAGTTATTACCGGTGTATCTTATGCGAAAGCATCGTTCCATCAAACCATTGCTTTGCTGTTACCGGGTTTATTAGGCTGACACAATGCTTCGTTCCCTCCGGGTTCACGCGAGCCTAAAACTACCTACTAAACACCGTTCGACCGATGAATCGACACAGATTATTCGCCATTTGGAAGAATAATCTGTTTCCGTTTCGATCGTAGGAAATCGTTCCTTTTCTGAAAACCATCTTTTAAACTCCATTCCTTCTGTTCCCATCCGAGAATTCTATTTGTAGATCACGAACGCGCTATCGACTTTTGTTCTTGAAATAGTAGGGTGAAGTAGTGTTTCACGATTGATGGAATGATGAAATATTTTTCCAATTATTCCCTATTTTTTAAATAAGATAATTAATAAGGTGATAATCAATTTGGTGTGATGCCAATGATGGTCTTTAGAGATGATCACTTTGGGAAAAAAGTCATCTTGATTCTGACACGATATAACACTTGATGATGATCTTGTAACTGCGCTTTAAACGAACGTAAGTCTCGATGAATTAACCTCGATGGCTTTCGGTATATTTAATAATGTAATATTGATGACTACTCGTGATAGTCAAATGACCTTGAGTTCCAATGGCACAACCTTGATAGCTTTCATCTTCAAATGATCTTGGATTCCAATTATAACTTTGATGATCTCAAGTTGATTTTTAACATGAGTTTAAATGTGAATGTCACACTCTTTGTTTTATTATTCATTTTATAACTTTCCACTTTTATATATATCTGTTAAATAAGTTTTCTAATTTGCGTCGATTTAATTAGTGGTTATTTATTAAATTTTTTTACCTTTGCTTTTTTTTATTATAATAATAGATAATCATTAAATATTTAAATTTTTTAAATTAATAAACAAAACTTTCATATTTTTTTTTTGATTTTTAATTCATAATCGTATTCATTTTAGTAGATTTATTTTAGTAAATTCAGTTGTAACGACTTGCTGAATTGAATTGCACATAATTACGTCATTCGTGCAAGAATTATAGACATATTCATAATATAACGTTAAAAATATAAATTTTTTTATTTTTCTTTCTACGATTACGTATAATAAACTGTATATAAATGGTTGCCATTTACTATTGATCGATTTATTTTTGCTCGGAATAAACAAGATAATCGCAAACACGTACAAGATAATCGTCATGATAATTTATTTAAATGTATAATATTCCGTTACGGTTTGTCGAACGATTTTACTATCGTCCAGGTCAACCGTTCCTTTCATTCCCAGGCATTAACGTCAATATTAACGCCGCGGTAAACGAGATACGTATTGAAACGTTAAAAAGAATTGTCCAATTCCAATGCATCGAGTTCAGGCGAGTTCGATTAGCGACGTCTTGAATCGTTGTCGACTTTCATTTTAAAGAGCGTGGTTCTTGCAGATACGCAGTTATCTCGCTTTTAATTAAACCACATTAATATGCGTCTCACTCTGATTATCTCATCGTCAAGATTTGTGAGATGCTTTTTTTTTTTGTAAGAATTAAGTTCTCTCTCTCTTTCTCTCTTTTGCTTCGCTTCTCTTTTAATCAATCAAGAATTTTATGAATAATTTTTTCCGCTGGATGATTACTCAATTGCGCGTGCACTGCATGGAAATGATCTTTTGGATCAGATTTCCACGATGAAAGTGAAACTAATGGAACGGGGCCTCTGTGCCATTAATTTTAAGGAAGTTTTACTGGCTACCGTTCGTTTTTTCACAGCGATCGTGGTAGTATCGTGTTCTGCACGCGTCACGAACCTGCCAGCAACTCGAAGACACATGACATATTTAGAAAGTATCTTGCCTTGGATATGATGGATACATAAATGTTGATTTTTCTTGCTCAAAATTCTGTGAACGTTTGCTGTATGATCAAGTTATTGCCGAAAAATGTCATTGATTTACAAAGTATATTCTTTCTTATGTAATATTTTTATTATATTATGTTATTGATAATGGAAATAATTCAGATGGTATTAATGAAAATATTAACTTCTGTTACTACGTCACGTATGATAAGAAAAATGTTAACATTTCAAATGAAAACTTTATCTTTGTTGATTTTCTGATTATTTCAAAGTTGATAGAGAATAATTTAAAAGATTCAAAAATATGAATCTTTGAAAATGATTGCGAAAACAGTTTTGTCGAAACATTAAAAATATATATTCAGCATTTTCAAATTAACCATTTACCATTTCATTTTATATATGTTATTATTAATAGCAAAAAATTTTTCAAATTATTAAAATTAAATAGTTTCAAGAAGAATATATTCTGACATTATTAGTTTTTTACATAAAAAATTAGTTTGTTTTTTATAAAAAAATATTTAAAAAATTATTAATTTAACAGATATTTTAATTTAAAGTTTGTAAAATTTATCATATGAAAAATAAGCAGTATCATTTTTTCCGTATCTTTTTTTCTTTTCTTTTTATTACATTATATTATAAATTATGGATTAAAATATCTTCTTATATCAACTAATGCAATAAAATATATATATAATTCCACTTAAAAGTTAATAATCTTCCAATATACGAATTTATCTACAAAAAAAATTAATAACATTGGAATGTACCTTTTCGAAACCATTCAAAACCTGCATATGAAATATTTTTTATACCCTGTACATTATAATTTAATTACATTTAACTTTTCTTTGAAACTTTGACGCCGTAGAAACAGCATTCGTCCGCAAAGAAGAACGCTAAACGTTCCAAATTTCTGCTTCAATCCTGCCCCCAATCGAATCCCAACTCAACCGAGTTTCAACACACTTTCGCTTGAAGGAAACGCGAAACGTAAACTTCCCTTGCCAGCGCCAACAACCCATCCACTCTCACCGAAACGTCCAATCATCTCTCAGTCACAAAGTTGCTAAATACTCACCGATGCTTGGTCGAGGCAGACAGCGGTGCGTGTCGTGGCGAGAAATAGCAGGAGGAGCAGGAGGGCCGCGTTCGCCCCCAACAGCCGAGCGATCATACCCGCTGGATCGAGGAGGCCTGCCAGTGGGGGCAGCGAGCGCAGACAGTTCGACGACGTCGAGGACGTGCTCGACGACGAAGCGGGCCGGTGCTCCTGTCGCGGATGCATCGCTTCATGATCGCAACGTGCCCCTTTCTCGTCCCTCCGTCGACGCTTTCGTCGTCCTCTCGTTCCCTCTCTGTCTCGTGCACTCCCTATCCTTCCTCTCTCCTTCTCTGCGCCCGTCTTTTCCGCACCTTCACCACCTCTTCTTTCCTCTTTTTTCCTCTCCTCTCCTCTGCTCCTCGAGGAGAAGGTGCGCGCGCGATTCTACGTGCGTGAACTCGCGAGTCCGCGCGCGGCTCTATAAATACGTCCGCGACTCCACGCGAAGAATCTCAAACGAGCTCGCCATAAAACACCATGAGTAGAAGAACACGAGGAGGGGTTAAACTCTTCTTCTCTCTCTCTCTC